ATCTTTTATTTCTTATATATATTTTTTTAAGATTTTATTTATTTATTTGAGAGAGAATGAGATAGAGAGAGCATGAGACGGGGGAGGGTCAGAGGGAGAAGCAGGCTCCTCGCTGAGCAGGGAGCCCGACGTGGGACTCGATCCCGGGACTCCAGGATCATGACCTGAGCCGAAGTCAGTCGCTCAACCAACTGAGCCACCCAGGCGCCCTGTATCTTTTATTTCTTTACCCCAATACTTAATACCTGGAACATACTAGACACTCAATAAAGTTAGAGAATATTTTTAATTTCACGCATTTCCCTTTCTCTTGTCTTCAATTACATATTAATAAATGTAATTAATGCTGAAGCTGATTAAAACCATGTCCTAGATATAGTTCTTGCTATTTATAATTACAAAGGGACATAAGGAAAAGAAACATCAGGTGGAATATTTGGCTGGAAAAAAGATGATGGATGGCTTTTCTTAGTTTTTGACATGATAAACATGTGCTTATTCTTGGTTCAGATATGAAAAATCTGCTTCAAGTTTCCCACAAGGTTAGATTCTGAGGCAGAACCCATATTCCATGATTTCTTTTCCCCCCTCTCTCTCTCTCTTTTTTTTTCCCCAAAACCCAACCTCATTAATGGAATTCAGTGTTTGGGCTGTAAATATTTTAAATTGAGCATTTGAGGGCTTTCAGGAGTTTGTCCTCCTACTTTGCTTGTCCTCATACTTTGTATTTGATTTAGCTATGACCACATCCTTAGAATAATCCTTCTTGACATTCTGAAAATCCTATGTAGTTAAGATAAACCATATATTCAGCCACCTCTATCTTATGATGTCTATAAAAACATATGCATTTAATAAATAATGTCAAATTAATAAACTAAATCTCATTCCCCATAGCCCTATGTGAATAAATAAGGCATTAATTTCCCTAGGAGAAAGCTAAACTCCCAGGACATATTTCAAAGACACTTTCAATTATCATAATTTGTGAGATTCCTTCAGTCATGAGTGAATAATAATGCCCTTCCATTTTCAATGCCACATTTAGATGTTTTTTAATTCCATCACACCACCTTTCAAAAATGTCTGTGGAATATTTAATCAAGAAAATCTGTAAAATTTAAAAACTCTGAACTTTACTACAAACTTTGTTTCATCTATGAAGGATAAGTTTTTCCATACATATTTAAGTTTTCTTTTGAGATTCAGTATTTTGATACTTCTTTACCAAGCAAATATCCACTGATCTGTAAAATCTGTGATTTAACAATGCTTTCTATTCTTAGTGATACTACTTGTAATATCTAGAATTATTTTATCAGTGAAATCCTAATGCAACCCTATTATGTCAGGCTTACAGAACATATAATATTCAGTTTCCCCACTGAATGAATTAAGATATATTTACCTTAAAATAAGAATCTCCTTGTCATAAGACCTATTGAACTTCAGCATACATTGAGTGATATCTAGATACCTCATTGGGACTTGATTACTATCTTGCTATAGTAGGTTATGAAGACTAAACACGTACTTCTTTGCTCAATTTTACTTCTATAAAGATCCTTAAAAAGGAAAAAAAATATATATATAGAATTCCAGTGGTCATTCTCTTCCCATTTATTCTTTGTGTGTAAAGCTTCTAGAACTCTTGGATCCACAGGTTGTCAAAATACAGTATGCATTAAAATCACTATCAGCTCTATGTCCAGAGACTCCAAAGCAGTAGGCCAATGGTGAGACCCAGGATACCGCATTGTCAACAAGTTCACTGGGTGATTCTCGTGCTTGGATTACATGCTGAGAATCACTATTCTAGGGTATGAAATTCTAGGTCCAGAATCCATGGAAAATTGCGAGAAATTCCTGAGAGACAATATGTTGACCTTTTTTTCCCCCACTGTGTGTCAGTCTTTTGTAACATTTTGTATGAAGGCAATTAAGGTTAAATTGATTGTGATCTTTAAGCTAAATAAAATTCAGATATTCCAAATAGCAGTTATATGAAAGAATGGCTGGCAAAAAGTTGGATACGCATTTTAGTAATGAAGATGTTTTTAAGTGATGAAGAAAAAGGGAGAGGAAAAGGAAAATCATTGGATGCAAATATAGCCACAGAAATCCCCATTATGGACAATGACATCAAATAGATCTCAGAATTAAACAACAAAAGGAGGGACAATGGAAAGTTGGCATGATAAAAAATTAAAGTAACTAGTAAATATGGGTATTTATTAACTCAAATGCTGTGCAAATTATGATTAAAAGTTCATCTTAGGGTGAAAAAAATGTTAAAGAAAATATCTTAGCCCTGTATCCTAGGTTTGACTAAGCTTATAAAATTATATGCATTATAATTAACTACATTGTTCTCCAACCTAAACTGAGCACACACATCCATGAAAAAAATACTAGACACTAGTAAAATGTCTTGTGACAAGATAATATATTCTCAGTGGGTATAGTTTAGAAGATCAGAACAAAGCAATACATAGTGGCAAGCCATGTGACAGAGGTGAAAGGCATCATGGCATCCTGACCAGTCATTTTGTGTGCTACAGAGTTTTGACAATGTGGACACAGATAATAATGATAATTAATACAATGGATGTTTGTTCCTCTTGGTAGTATGATGTTCTTTAATGTTCTTGCTTCCTGCTGTAGATTATAATATCCTAATAGGGAAAGATCTTGGTTATTTAAATTTTGAAATTTTCTTGCTGTATGATACCATTTTGAGTAACTTCAGATACTGCTTTAATCTATTCCTAAGGTGTGGTTGGGGGACCTCTACCCAGATATTTGCTTAATAAAGTAATTTCAGAAGTGGATTCCATTGACAGGTGAATTGTATTCAAAACTGGGCATCACCAACAGATGTATATGTTCTGCCCTTAACAAGGTGTGATGTGATTTTAGATATTAGCACCTGGATTTTTTTTTTTTTTTTTAACTTGGCAAAAGTTTCTCACATGCTTCTTTTGACTATTCTCAGCTCTCAGTGTGATACTGGAACTCATACTTGGTAGCTAATAACTGAAAATGACCAGTAAAAAGCCAATATCATTTTTAATTTAAGTAATTGCCCAGTTCCTTTCTCTGCCTATTCTCCAGATTTGCCACTTTCTTATTATCAAATAATACAAAATAAGTTATATGTAGGAAAACATAGAAAGCTACAAGTTTTCAGTATTATTCTTTGATTCAAATGACTCCAATACTCATGCTTAAATTGGACAACATCTGTCATATTTATTGTCTAATTATCCTCAAACTTTCATTCACTAATTTAAGCAAATATTTACTGAGTGCATACTGGATGCCAAGCATAGTTTCTGGGCTCTGAATATGTAGCAACATACAAAACCAGCAATAACACTGACATATACAGCTTATATTCTAATGAAGGAAGAGAGATTAAAAAAAAAACATGTAAAATGTGAGGTGGACATAAGTAATGAACACAAAAATAACACATGGAGAAAGATAAGAGAATGATGTTGCATTGGACATTATATGGAACAGCCAGAAAAATCTCAGATGTTTTCTGAGCAGATGCAATTCTTACTCTACTCAGTGTGGGTCACTGTTCTCATTGTATTGAGTAATATTCTTTTCTAGGATAGTCTCTTCACATTGTTTATCATTGTCATTTTGGTTAAAATAAAGAAAAAAAAATAAAAACAAAGATGGAGCTTAAGGGGCACCTGGGTGACTCAGTGGGTTAAGCGTCTGCCTTCAGCTCAGGTCATGATCCCAGGGTCCTGGGATTGAGCCCTGCTTGGGCTCCTTGCTCAGTGGAAAGTCTGCTTCTCCTCCCTCTGCTGTGTGCCCTGTTTGTGTGCTCTCTTTCTATCAAATGAATATATATATTTTTTTAAATGGAGCTTAAAACAAAACAAAATCCTCCTTCCACATGCATGACTTAGGAAACCTTCCCATCTGACCAAAAGAATCTCAAGTATTGTGAAACTGGGACTCACTCCCTCAAATGGCCATAGTTCAGGTCCAATTATTCTCATAGGTACAATTTAACCAGCAGTTGGAAGTTTCAGGGAGTATGCACTGCTTTCCAAGCTACTGGCTTTATTGAGGGAAACCACATACAGCTCTGCCATACAAGGGTTTAAAATTACAACTCTGGATCCCTCATGTACATTAATATCTCAGGTTCTCAAGTCTACACTGGCCCTAGTACCTCTATGAGTCATATAGAGCTTCAACTTCCACTTTACTGCCACAGCTAGGAAGTCCCTTTTAGTTACTGAAGATTTCTCTTTCTTTTCTCTTATCCTCTTCTCAGCTATGCCTTTTCATTGACAATATATTTTTTAAGCTTTTTGCTGTGTTTGAAACTTAAGGTTATGAAGGTTGGTAGAGATGGGAATGTGTTCCAGATTTTACTCAGTCCCCTATCAGAAGTTACCTCAACTAGCAGTTGAAGAATTTGCAGTGTTTTCTATGTGCTAAATTTCAATCTTAAAACCATTCATAAGAAAGAAGTATGTATAATATACTTGATGTATTTTAAGGATTCATACCGACCATTTAATTTATGGTGACAAGTACTACCTTACTAATTGGAAATTACCTAACCCTGCATCAAGTAAGACAATAGCCAAGTTTGTATTTTTTTCAGAGAATGAAAAAAAGTAAGCTTGAAGGATGAAAGTTTGTAAAGGTCAGTGTTCATATTTAGCCTTCCCCTTCCCTATTCACTCTAGGAATCTTGATAGGAGTGATATACCATCTTACTGTCCATCAAGGACATATTGGACCATTAAAAATGCACTTTGAATGACTGAGGAAAACAAAGTCACAGTGTTTGGCTTTAGACAAAGACCTCAAGAGATTTAAGTTATGCTTCAAGTTATACAATCTCAATTACAAACATCCATACATGATGGTTATAGATAGAACTGTGTAATGGAGCCTGTGGAAATGCTTTTTCAAAAGATATAAAAGATACACCAACTTATAAAATGTCCTTTCTTTCACAGATTAAGTGGCAAGAAAAGTTCTCCTCTGCAGGGGATAAACAGACTTTCACTTTTAAGGATAAAGGAAGACTTCAAATGCTACATTTAAAATTCCATATCCAACTGATATTAATATGGTTAAGAAGAAAGAATGTGGACCTCGATCAAATGGAGAGTATTATATCCATAAGAATTTCACACCACATATTTTTTTTACATTTTCCAAATGAAGTAGAAATCACCTCAAAATCATATCAATATTATTGATACTAAAATATGTTAAAAATAAATTCTATGGAGCCTTGAAAGTGATTTTACTGTGCAGCTTTAATTCCTTTTTTAAGCCATATATCATAGTGTGTAAACATTTGTATTTTGCATTTTTGTGAGTGATTTGTGTGTATGTGTACGTGTGATTGTTTTGTTTTTATACCTACAGGAAAAACTTCAGTAGAGTAGCTTTTTTTTTTTTTTTTTCCCCCCTCCCTGGAATTACCTCGTGGCTTGCAGAGGAAATCTCTCTTTAAGAAGTTTAGGGCAGGGGTGCCTGGGAGCCTCAGTCAGTTAAACGTCCAACTCTTCATTTCTGCTCAGGTCATGATCTCAGGGTCTTGAGATCAAGCCCCGCCACCTTGGGCTCCACACTGAGCATGAAAACTGCTTAAGAGTCTCTCTCCCTCTTCCCCTTCCTCTGCCCCTCCCTGCAACTCAGGGTCTCCCTCCCTCCCTCTCAAAAAAAAAAAAAAAAAAAAGAGGTTTAGTACAACTATGAATAATATAAAGGAAGCCATCAGAAACTATCTCCATGAAAGATTATGTTAAAATTTCACCCTTACTGAGTTAGAATTTCCAGTTAACAATTCTTATAAGCTTAAATATCAGCTCAAAAACCTTTTGGCTAATTCATATGCTACCAAGCTACCTCCTAATTGCAGAAACTCTGTCTCCTAAATGTCTTGGATATGGATAGGGAATTTAAAACAGCAAACCCCAGAACCATGCTACACATTAAATAATAAACGCAGTAAGAGAAAAGAAAAACAGACAAAAAGTGTGAATAATTAAAATTTATATTGTACCATTTTGAGAAAAAAAATAAAATAAACCAACTAGAAACTATATTCCTAAAAGTACAAACCAAGATATTTGATTTACCTAGAGTATCCAGATAAGCAAAAACAGAGTATAAACAAGTTATTGATTTGATTTGACCGCCAGATGAAGGGATGAACATTAAAAGTATCACTTTGAAGTAGACTCAGAAAAATAGGATATTCATGTTCCTTCTCAAAGCTTATCAGAAAACTCTCTGTACATCAGAGGTTCTTAACAATCAAGCAAATTGGATGATGCACTCTGGACGAAAAATCAGTACCCTTGCCATCTAGTCCAGTGCATGGATGATCTTCAGACATTTTATGGGCTCAAAGAGATGAAGGCTGTTCCAGGACTTCTACTCATTAGGACAGACTTGACTACTCTGATCTAGAATGTATGTTTCTAGCAATGAAAACAAACAACAAAAAACAAACAAGTAACACTTATGGGCCAGATACCATGTCTTCAGGAGACCAACCTAGAGGCAAGTTACTATACTGAGCTCCTTTATGTTATAAGTTGAAATTAGTTTCCTTCTCTGGAACAGACCTTATTTTAGAGATGGGTGAACCTCCCGTCTTTCCAAATAGCTCTGCCAACACTTCTAAAAAAATATGATTTTTGCAAGCATCTCACACTGTCCTGTTCTTTTGCATACCATTGAGTCACACATAGAGCTCATTCAACATTCAGGATTCTCTAGTTTATCATCCAGAAAGTTTTACTGAATGATGCAATGACATACTGACTTGTAGGATATGATTAGGATCAGATGCCAGTTAATGGTGCAGTTTTTCCTGTACATAGAATACATAGGTCCCAGAAACAATAGCTGAAGTTGGTGGTGACTTCATATTTATAGCCAAATATACACCTTTATAATATTTTTAAACTTTTTCCCCCAAGACTTCAGGTTCTATAGAATTTAAGATTTTACTACCCTAGGGATAAAAACTTTCTACTACAGGATCAAACAATAGTTCCAATGGTTTGGAATCTAGAGCTGGTCCTTAGCATTGTTCATGCCACTTAACAAATAAGGGGGGGGGGAGAAGGGTATTTCAGTGTTGGATGGAGTATTTCACAGTAATAAAAGAGTAGTAAGGAACAGTAAGATAACCACTATGAAATAGGAGCCTAGAAAAGTACAGTTGGAACTCAGATGATTGGGACTTTTTTTTTTTTATACTATGTCCAAAGTTATGGTTAGATCACTACAAAGCAAGAGAGAAAGGATTGTTAAAGCTTCTTATCACTTAAAGAAATTCTGGATCACCCACCAGTGAAAGAGCAAAAATACTACTACAGACCTGGTTTAGAAAGCTCTTCTGCCTGCCACAATCACTAAGGTTAGGAAACCAAGAAAGAACATCTGGGATGGATACGTACAGGAACACAGGTACCTTTACTTCAATTTAGAGAAACAAACTTCTACCACCCCTGCAACTACTTAATCTACATGGGCAATCAATTAATCAATCAATCAATCAAGGAACACATAAAACATATAACCCTCACTCTTGTGGGTTGGCACCAAAAATCCAGCATCACCATGGCTGGGGTGAGCCCTATACACAGGAGAAGCTGCAGAGTCATTCTCCACCTCAATTGCACCTTCCAAACTTCACACAAGTTTGGCAATTCACACAAATGTAGCAACAGTGAAAACTAAGTCATATCTAAATAAAAACCTAGTTACAAGGCCATCTGGGAAGTGAAGTGTGCTGGTTGGTTTTACCAGTTTCTGGAGGAAGAGTGTGGTTCAATGGATGTATTGATTGATGATCTATACCTATGAAGAAAATCAACTACAGCTTGGGGTCCAGTCACAGAAAAAGAATCATACTCTCACTTCATAATCCAAGTATATTTTTAATCATATGTCTTGCTATAATCTTCCCTTCCACTGATCTTTTCCTTAAAAATATATATAAAGTGTATTTGTTGTAGATCAGTTTACCTCTATGTTCATAGTTTATAGACTATTACATCATATTGTAACATTCTACATGCGATAGGAACATCACCCAAAGACAAGGACTTGTCACTGGGATTCAGGCCACCATCCTGTACAGACAGGATATACAGTGGTGGGTGTGTGTACATGCATGCATACACTACAATACCATTATGTGAAGTGGAGACAGTTTAAAACTACCTATAGAAAGAAATAGGTGTGTGAATGCGTTTTTATATTTTAAAAACACAAGGAATAAATATAGTGGATACCTGTTGTCTAACCATTCAGTCTCTTCCTTTTTCTTTAAAAATCAGTATTCCTCTTTCCTTTATAGAACAATTCTCGCATTCCCCATATTCTTCATGGAAATATCAAAGATCTACCTACTACTCTGCACACTCCTCCCCTGATTCCTTGCAGAATACATGTGGCCCAAGTGGACACATGTGGTCCATGTGGACCAAGTGGTTGTTCTTAAACTTCCGGAAAATATCAAGAAGGTTCATGGATCCCATGACGCTTATGCCTTTCTCTCCATCTCTTTATTTTTGTGAATATCCCAGTATTATTCTAGTATTTCTGTCTCAGTAAGTTTGGGCTGCTATAACAGAATTTTATAGACTGGGTGGCATAAACAACAGAATTTTTCCACAGTTCTTGCTTGGTCTTCAGATGGCAGAGAAAGAGATCATCCCTCTGTGTCTCTTATCGTAAGAGCACTAATTACTCTGAGTAGTGGAGCCCTCAGGATCTAATTACATCCTAAAGGCATCACCTCCAAATATAGTCATATTGTGGATTAGGGCTTCCACCTATGAATCTGGGGGGACACATTCAGTCCATAGCAATTATCATGCTATGAATACTATATTCATTTTTCATTTATATTGATTCATGCAATAGTGAAATTTTTTGATCAATTTGGGTCATAACCAGACTTATGTCCTGGGTACTATGATAACTATTTCACAAGCTTTCTCATATTTAATGCTGTAATAATGTGCAAAATAAATGCTAATTTTTTACAGATTAGGAAATGAAGTCTTTAGAGGGAGGGTGGGGGATGTGCCAAATGGTTGATGGGTATTAAGGAGGGCACTTGTTATGATGAGCACTGGGTATTTTTTTTTTTTTTTAAGATTTTATTTGAGAGAGAGAGAGGGCATGTGCATAAGCAGAGGGAGGAGCAGAGGGAGAGAGAGAAGCAGACTCCCCTGCTGAGCAGGGAACCCAAAAGGCGCCAATCCCAGGACCCTGGGATCATGATGTGAGCCAAAGGCAGATGCTTAACCGGCTGTTCCACCCAGGCGCCCCAGCACCAGGTGTTATATGTAAGTGATGAATCACTAACTTCTACTCCTGAAACAAACAAACTAAATAAATAAAAATTAAGAATTGATACACTGTAGCATAAATGAAATTAAACTAATACACTTTACGGCTTAAAAAGAAAAAAAAAAGAGAGGGAGATTTGGAGACAGAGACATAGGGACACCTAGGGACAATATTATGTGACAAGAGAGGCAGAGGTTGGAGTGAAGCAACTGCAAGCCAAGGAACACCAGGGAATGCCAGCGAGCCTGGAAGAGGCAAGGAAGAGGTCTTCAGAAGAGAGCCTAGCCCTGCTGATACCTGATTTGAGACTTCTAGCCTCCAGAACTATGACAGAATACGTTTCTGCTGTAAGCTACCCAGGGTGTGGCAATGTGGCAGCTCTAGAATACTAATACCTGTTCAATTCCTAAAGAAAGAAAACATTAAACTTAAAAAAAAAAAAAAAAGGAAATGAAGACTTCAGAGAATCTAAGTAATTTGAGTAAAGTATCAAACTAGAAACCACTGAAGACAGGATCCAAGCTATGGCTCTTTGGCATAAAAGCTATGTTCTTTTTTTTTTTTTTTTTAATTTATTTATTTGACAGAGAGAGAGAGCGAGAGAGGGAACACAAGCAGGGGTAGTGGGAGAGGGAGAAGCAGGCTCCCCTCTGAGCAGGGAGCCCGATATGGGGCTCGATCCCAGGACCCTGGGATCATGACCCGAGCCGAAGGCAGACGCTTAACGACTGAGCCACCCAGGCGCCCCAAAACTATGTTCTTAAATAACAATATCTTACCTATATGTAATTTTCAGTCAAAAAACTATTAACAATTTTGTAGAACCAATGCTATATTTTTATGGACATTTTTTCCACCCAGAATCTGGGAGAATAAAAAATACTGGACCAGAAGTAGTATTCAATT